ACGAGGAATGTTCAAATTCAAATTATAATTGTGTATCCAATGAGGCATGTACTTTAGAATGTATAGGATGCGTTTTAAATTATACATGAAGTGCATGATGTATCCTCCTTTACTATACTTTGATGAACAATAATGACAAATGATGCATCATGCGCTTCATGCGTAATTTAGAACGCACCCATACTCTCTCTTGAAAAAAATTTGTAAACCTGGGTTATCTTCGCGCCTGGGTAATCTTCGATAAAAGCAGCAGATATAAGCGAACTGAGATTGAGCTAAATGTAGACCAATGCACAACAATTATATCGGAGAAAGGCTTTCAGAGAAGACTGATGATGCTAAGAATGAATGATATCCCTGTGACATTCAAGAATATATATCGCAGTGGTAATGGCAGAAAATGCTGACTGAATTAATGAATTTGTTTGTTGCATGTATTGTCTCGGAACTTTATTCTACCAAACTTTGCGTCTACCAATTTTTTTTTCGAGAAAGTACACAAATTATAGAGTTCCAGATTTATTCACATGATATAGCCAATATGTTACAACACGCGTCATCAGTGAGATGTGTGAATTTAAACTGTAATAAAAATTTGAATATCCCTCGTATTTTATACATAGAGTACAAGTTTTATACGAATAGCTATCACGCTATACAATTCCATCATAATGTTACCAAATTTCATGACAGTTCTAACATAGTTATTAAAGTTATATTTGAAAATCTATCTACAGAGTTGACTATATCATTTCTACACCCAAAAAGTGCAATGAAGCAAAAATTTACATATACGAATTACAAAGCGTTTATAATGTTTATCATACATCAAATTTTCACTTTTCATTGGATGCGTTGTCAAGTTGAAAAAACGACTAGCCTGCTCACCGAGCAAGTGAACTAATTGGTTATTACTTATAGATCCAATCAATCATATTCAATCGCTCGGTAAGCATGCTTAGCTGCTTTGCCATCTTGATCTTGCCATACATACAAGTACCATGTAATAATTAAGTTATGAAATTGCATAACATTGATTATAATAACTAAAGTAGAAACAGCTAGACAATGGAGAATAGTACGCGCGATAAAAGTGAGGTTAGACTAATTTCGAATAATATGAATATCCGTCGAGACTGATAAAAGCAGTTACAACTTACAAGTCACAATCAGCAGGATTACATATTAACAGTTATGTTTCCGAAAAATGTCAAGACAACGCTGTTGTGCGGGCCGAAAGACTTGAGTAAATCCTTTATGTATGAGGTATGTAGGTAATGTACAAACGTACATATAAATGACAAATGAAAGTGTAACTCAGCAAACGAGAATGGATTGAAATGGATTCAGATTTTCAGAAATATTGATTCACGAATGTTAAAATGAATACTTTTCAATCCTGAATGCATTTTTATTCATTTATAGAAATTACATGGAGCATATCTTTATGCCTTTCAGTCTAAAAGTAATATTAGCTTTTTCTGTCTATTGTGAATACTGTTCAATTCAAAATTTTGAATAGGAAATGCAGTTTTTCAATCCAATTGAATCCAATTGAATCCAAAAAAAGTATTCGCTATTTAAAATACATTTGGATAGAAAAAAATTTCAATTCATTTTAATCCATTCTCGTTTGCTGGGAAGACATAATATGATGTCAAAATCTATCTGTCTCTCTCACATTCCTACAAGATATATGTCCTAAAGTGGAAAGAAAACATTTTCCTACATCTAGGCTGCGATGTATTGGGCGGAAGAGGGACAACAGCTTGTTTACATTACCCCGATACTTCTGGAAAAACGACCGGCGATTTGTCACGACAGAAGAAATCCATCAGTCACCGCGCTCAAACTAATGAGATTCATGTAAGATTTATATACTAGATTTATATACTATATTATATTATATTATGTAATAATATATATATTTTTTTACATCTGCAGACGTCTCCTATTTGTCAACAATTGTTGTCACTGCAACCCAGCAAACAGAGAATGGATTAAAATAGATTGAAATTTTTTTCTATCCGAATGCGTATTTTAAATAGCGAATACTTTTTTTGAATTTAATTGGATGCAATTGGATTGAAAAATTGGATTGAAAACATTTCCTATTCAAAATTTTGAATTGAATAGTATTCAATTCACAATGCACAGAAAAAGTTAATATTATTTTTAAATTGAAAAGCATAGAGATATGCTCCATGTAATTCTTATAAATGAATAAAAATGCATTCAGGATTGAAAAGCATTTATTTTAACATTTGTGAATCAATATTTCTGAATCCATTTCAATTCATTTCAATCCATTCTCGTTTACTGGGAACTCCTTTATGTTTATCTTGGATTTAATTGTTATTTAAAAAGAGTAAATATCTTATCTAACGATATTTATACATCTGACGTTTATTCATTCATGTCCATCGATATTTTACACAGCGCGCATAGTCGTCTTGATATATTTATTTATGCAGATATTTGTCGGATTACGAAGCTCTCGAGCAACATCTTTATAAACTGCATACCTATGCAACTATGGTACCTTCTGTGCTTTTGATAGATGAATTGGATGATTATCTCTTAAGTGATGAAGCTCCTGGAGATAATAATTCATGTATCGCCAAAATTTGCGCCTTGATACTCCATTCGATGAATTTATGTTCACGAATTTTAGAAAAGAATGTAAGGAAGAAATATTATTTGTACCTTTGAAAAAACAGATTTCTGCTTTTCCGAATAGAGAAAAAAATCTGTATTTTCTCTCTCTCTCTCTTTCTAAAACAAAACGTGTTATATTACACGTGTTTACTTTGGTCTCCAGTATATTAAGCCTGCTTGTTTTTTTGCTGGATTTTTTGCTAATTCCTGCTGAATTAGAATATTGCCATCGTATTGGCTGACGTATTGACAAAGTCAGCATCGCAGCCAATACGATGACAAAAATTTATTCTAGCTAGCAATCCATCAAGGAAACAAGCGTCATGTACCACCGACTTTATTCATATTTCATTATTCATTCATCTAAATAAACATACGATTTTGATTCATCTTCTATCTATTTTTTCTCCAACTTAAAAAAAAATGAACTTGGATAATTTTATAGTAAACAAGCCCTTATAAATAATATTGTCGGAAAATTAAATTTCGAGAATTATTTAGTCTTGATGATTTTTCAATCAATGATGTTGGTTTTATGGTAAAATAAATAATAATTATATTATAGGTACATGTGTGCGTATGGACCAGTTCTAGCCTCGTCAATAACTTTATTCAAACAATTTACTTTCGCAATATCTGGAATTTAACGAAGAAGGAGGATGGAAAAGTCATTTTGATGAAAAGGTGTTCCATTAGATCATCGTTAGAACGATCGTACATATATTATAAATTCCAAGATGGGATGCGAGTTCTTCAACAAATATTAGGCGATTTGAAGGTTTAATGATATTTTTATTAGGGATACATCGGATCGTAAAATTATCCGAGAAAATGTTCTCTAAAAAGAAAGCCCTAGAGAAAAAGATTTAATTTTACACCAATGTACAAGATATTGTAGCATGAATATGCATACTTATTCCTAGTATGCATTTACATTTATACTATTTATAGTACTATTTATAGTACTATTTATAGTACATTTATATAAGAAACAAATCAATAATTTAATGATATGAAATCGAATATATTCCCGGACTAATGATTACTATCCGGTCGGATAGTAAAAAGTGCCGGATAATACCGGGTACAAGATATTTTCCAGACATCCGGTGCATCCCTAATTTTTATTAAGTATTTCTGTATTAGTATTATCTTCGTTCTTATTATTTTTGTATACATGAAAATGGAATAAAAATTCTATAAAAATTGTTGCGTGTAAAATAAACTGCATTAAAATTGCTACGTTACTGGCTGATATATGTATCATAAATAATAAGATTTGTATAAAGATTTTTTTTTTTTAAACATAATGAGAATAAAATTTTTAAAAATGTCTCTCTTCCTTTTATCTATCTATCTCCTTTTCTGGCATAAAACATTGTTGAGCCATGTTTATGCAAGGTGTTATTATCAATTGTGATACTTTTTTTTACATAGAGCAGCTAAAATCGATTGGAATCCATCTCTGAAAGTGGAATGACAGTGGCGGGCGACAGGAGGGAAGAAATAAGAGAAATTAGGATTATTCTGCCGATATCATATCAACGCAAAAAAGATTTATCTACGACTCATTGTCGATCTGGGATAGTTGTCGCTGACGCAACAAGAGATATCAATACCAATTAGATTCCGTATGTTTGGATTCTGCATTTGCACGCTTGCGTACGACGTATGCGTAAGCGCGTAATAAGTGTTTGAATTGAATGTTACTCGTGCGAACTTATAAAGTGCAGACGACAACGCAAGTTCAAAAAAAACAAGTTCAAAAAAATAAAAAGGAGAAAAAGAAGAAAGAAGTGGCAAGTAAATATGTTGCATATATGTATGTATGCATATGCACATTATATCGTTGACACAACAATAATTGCAGTGAAGCGAATTGGAAACTGTGTTGACAACATAGCGCAAATAATCAAGTTAGTTTTTTCCCTTTGTTCTATGCACTTTCTTTCGCGTAAGCAAATATAACTCGATTTAAGCATCCGCACGATTTAGCGATCTAATTAATAATAAAAAGGAACGCATTTGAGATTCGTACTTTAAAAACGCATTTCAATTAAAATGTAAATTAACTAAAAAATGAATATATATTTAACGTATTACAATCGTATAAATATTAAGTGGTTTACAATTTTTCATCTGTCTCTCTCTCTCTCTCTCTCTCTCTCTCTCTCTCTCTCTCTCTCTCTCTTATTTATATTTTATCTCAGAATCTCTGAACCCAGCAAATGAGAATGGATTAAAATGGATTGAAATTTTTTTCTATCCAAATGCCTATTTTAAATAGCGAATACTTTTTTTGGATTTAATTGGATTCAATTGGATGAAAAATGCATTTCCTATTCAAAATTTTGAATGAACAGTATTAACAATTGTGTTTGTGTGCACAAAAGAAGCTAATATTATTTTTAGATTGAAAGGCATAAAGATATGCAATTCTTATAAATGAATAAAAATGCATTCAGGATTGAAAAGCATTCATTTTAACATTCGTGAATCAATGAAAATCTGAATCCATTTCAATTCATTTCAATTCATTCTCGTTTGCTGGGAAGGCCGTACTTACTAATCTCCTGTTATAATTTACTTTGAATTGATTATTTTTACACATTTGTGTGTGTGTGTGTGTGTGTGTGTGTGTGTGTGTGTGTGTGTGTGTGCGAGCGCGCGCGCGCGCTTTTCCTTGCTCTCTTACACTCTCTTTTATTTTGACAAATTATCATCGCTTGGATAATTAATATCGGAAAATAAAAGCGCGAGAATCGCGGTCCATTTTTTACATGTGTAGAATTTTATCCTAATTTATAACAAGAATTAGTTGTTGATGGTAGTGCTCGAAAGATGCGAATTTTTAAACGAAGGTAAGTGTAGCAATATCTTCTGTCAGATATCTAACAATAATTTAAAAAGCATTAATATAAAATTATTCGTTGACTTTCTTTACATTGATTTTAAAAAATTCTCTCATAGTATAGCATAGTATTGCTCATGATAATTAACGCGATAACGATAATCAACATTCACCTTTCATGAGAGTGTATCCTCGCGCTCTCGTAAACGATATAAGCCATCAATAACCGCAGGCTTGTTCCTTTTATTAAAAGCTACATTCCATCGGTCAAATAACCAGTTTTGAATGGGTTTCGAATTCCCGATGACTCATGGATCTTCGATCTTATCCGGCACGTTGTGCATCCGCATTGCATGAACAGGAAAGAAGAAAACGAAAATAATCACATATCACACACACACACACACACACACACACACACACGCGCGCGCGCGCGCGCGCACATATACATCAGACATAATTTGTGTCTGTTGAACATGGCACTTCGCATTCTGAATTTACATCCGTGCTACAATTCGCGGGTAATAAATTTAAAGATCTCGTTGATAAGAGATTATCTTGCGTATACGGATCATCATCATGGACATATCCAGGATTTTTGGAAGACGGAGGATTTTATCAATTATCTGTATCACATAAATAGCCATTTTTTGCACTAATGAATTGTTTCTTTAAATATTTTAGAGCTTGAATATCTTCTTTTTTGTTTTCTTTTTAAATGGATTTTAAATGGAAACAAATATTAAGTTAATTTGTAAATTATAAATTTTCTTTTGTTTCCTCAAGAAAGTATAAGCGAAATACACTTATATTAAAAACGAAATGTAAATAAGTATTTATTAACGTATAGCGCTATGTACACACATATATATATATATACAATGTTCTGTTGTTTTTTGGCTCAAAAACCTTCCAGAAATCATTTACGTAGCTGTAACAAGGAGAAAAAATATTTTATGCGACAACAAAAAATTACTCGGCGAGTCAAAAAGTGAAATTGTATTCTTTTATATGGTGTCCAGTGATCTTTGAATATCCTTAGATCCTGGAATTATATGTATCCTGAAGAATTCCTGAAAAACCCCTGAAATTTCAAGGCTGATCTGGAATTTATTCATCATTCTTTCATTCTAAAAAAATCATGAAAAAAGAAAGAAATAAAAAGAAAAGTTGTGTTTGGGTATAAGTTCTGCCATAAAGAGCAATAAGTTACAAATAAAAAACTTGAATGTCTAAAATAAAATATGGAAAAATCATTTATATTGATGGAATATTTGTTTGATATCACTTATAAAGCAGTAAATAATATTGCTCCAAATGTGCGTTTTAATTCATTTATATAGAATAACTTAAATACAAAACATATATTGTGGAAATCGATGAAAATTAATTGATGGGCTGAATCTTGGAAAAATCAAACTTTTACTTGGAATATTCTAGAATTCTTGAATTGACTAATCAGATTTTGCTATAGATACTATGTTTTATAATTAAAAATGAGAAAATAAATAAACAATTTCGAGAAGAAATTGAATCCCCTACCCTTTTTTTTGGATACGCCGGCCATGCGTGATCATTGCATTATCTTTTTTTTTATATCGAAAGTATATCGAAAGAATAATGGAAATTGTTTCATCTATTTGTATTTTTTAGAAATACATTCTTCGAAAGCGGATTTATCCTTAAAAGAGTAACACATCGTTTTTTAGTTTGAACTTATTTCTACTTTAATTTAGTTTAATTTCGGAATTTATTTTTAATTTAGTTTAATTTGTTAATTTTCTACTTTTTTCAAATTCTTTATCAAGTTTTTTTAGTATCTGCATGCACTTTGTAATGCGTATGTAAGTAGTTGTAGCTTCTATTTTCAAGTAAATTAAAAAATGATATACGTAATTTTAGAGATTGAGAGAAAAAATGATTGAAAAAAAGCGTAACGCGTGATGTATTAAAGTTATCGGAATCGTATTTTACATAAACAGAATTGTCAAAAATACTAATCATGCATGAAAGGACTAAATAATTTGAGTTGTTTGGTTTCTAGATTAGAGAGATAGATATAGAGTAAAGCTTCCTATTATGAGATAGCGACGTTTTTACTGAACTAATAAACGCTATCTATTGATTCCACCATGAATTTATTGCTCTTGGATTGAAAAAACTATTTAGTAGAAAATTCATTATTAAATCATGCTCATAGTTAAACAGTTGTAAAACAAGATTTTAGAATTTGGATGTCTTCAAGTTTCATTGAGATGAGCCTTTAAACCTTGTTTATTATTTAATAAATAAATATTTGGCAATAAAGTCTTCATGTAGTGATAGAGTAAGGTTGTACTAATAGAAAAATACGAGATATATTGAATTGTTTAATTACAGAAGTTAGATTTGATGATCGTAAAATCATAAGACGTGGTATGAAACACTCAGGGTATTTCTAATATGAAATAACCTATACTATGTCATAGTGAAAATCGTTGCTAAAGTATAAATGTTATTGTACAATAATAAAAAAGACAACCGTCGAAGAATAAACGTCGAGTGCCTATTTCTACGATGCTTGATTCCAACCTGAAAACGAGTTCTAGTTCTAATAATCTATCGCATGCTCAATTTTAGCGCATTTTTAGCTGTATTTGTTTAGATTTTAGAAACATTAAAATTTTTTAATTGCAATACTGATATACTTTTACTATCGATTTTTCGGGGCATTTCATGTTAGGAGCACAATTTTTTGACTTTCCGATTTGCTCACTTTTCTTTAATTTTCAAAAAAAAATAGAATTTGAATTAAATTTTATATAATGTTATCTTAAAGCTTATTAAATTCCCTTTAAAATGACCTATCATTTTTTAAAATTCTGCTTATAGGCTTCTAGCATCCCTGGTGAAAATTTTTCTCAGAATTAATATAATTTTATAACTTTCTCATTTTTTATGCGAATTGGAACATTCTTTCAGAAAATCTACATCTTTTCTCAGAATTTTTCATATATGTTAATTATAAGATATCATAAGATTTTTAAGATTTTTTGTAAATATAATTTCTGATGAAATGTTACAAAATCTAAAAAATTTAAAAGTACTTTTTAAAAATTCTGGATTGAGAAATTTCAGACTATTTCAGAATTCACTTGTATGAGAAGTTCTGAGAGAAAATGTAAATTTTCCGAATATTTCCAAGTATTCCTAAAAAATGTTTCATTTTTCAATTCAATATAAAGATTACGAGAAAAATTTTTACCAGGGATTTATCTAAAATGAACTCTGTATCTCACAATAGAGGGCCTCCCCCCCCCCCTCTCTCTCTCTCTCTCTCTCTCTCTCTCTCTGTGTGTGTGTGTGTGTGTGTGTGTGTGTGTGTGTGTGTGTGTGTATGTGTGTGTGCTTGTGCATCCTTATTCCCGATAAAGATCAAGGATAGCTTCGATAGATCGAGGCCTGCAGCATTGTAAGTATTGGAAGTGCGGAAGTGTTAGTTAGAGGAGCAAGAGAGGAGAAATAAGTATAAGGCTGCTCGGTTGCTCGGTTGCTCCAGCGGGCTGAGGCCTGACAAGTGGCAACTGGCAAGAAGCAGTGCCAGTTGATCCGCGGCATTCGCTACGGTTGCATGCTTGCTGTAGGTCGTAGCATGTTTCACATCTTCTCCTAAAAGAAATTTATTTATTATCTCAACCGTGCCCCCCCTCC